TTAAGGTTAAGGGCTAGACCTTGCAAATCCCTGTCCTTAAAATAATGGAAAACAGCACTGTAAAATCCAGCATCTGGAAACTAGATATTTCCAGTTGGAGGGAGAGCTGCAGCCCTTCTGTGGTGATAGTAGTTGGACGTCAGAGCACTGCGGATCTCATGGGCCCTTCATCACTGGGAATCTTACAGGTGGGATCAAATGTCTCTTTAAAAGCTCTGCACTATGTCAGCCTTAAGAACCAGCTTCTGGTTGGGCTTTTGCTATGAAAATGAATGGAGAAGGTAAGTGTCCCACAAGCTGTCAGATGCACGTCTGTGAAGGGCCCCTTTGGCCAAGGGGAAAGTATGGTCGCAGACAGCAGAGGGTAGGCTGAGGTCTTGATCCCTTCCTTTGAAGGGTTTCTTCAGATCCATCTTGAAAAATCCCCCGACTTCTACAAATGCACAGCTGCGGGTAGACGTTGTAGAAGTGGCAATCAGCGTGTTCTTCTTGTTGGATCTAGCACGTAGGAAGAAGGTTGTGGCTGTCAGTGCAGTACTGTAAATGAGTCACTGGGTCGGGCCCGCGTGAGTCCACTCCCAGCCTGAGCTTACCTTTGAATTAGCCAATGTAGAGTTGGCCATGCTTTTTGAGAGCCCTGAGGTTTACCTGCTGACCTACCCTGATTGTAGTTCCTGATGGTACATTGGATCCTGTGAGGGACAGTCCAAAAGTGTTGTGGGTGTTAATGGAACAGCCAGGCTTGTACAATGGACCTACAAGAAGGGATGGAGAAAGGTCTTCTGACCATTCAGTGCGTAGGCCAGTCTTTCGTGAGAGCCCCAAGTTCATCCTAGTCGTGCTGAAATTGCTTGAGTGCTCTGGGCACTGGTCCCTAGTGAGGTGCGTGGTGGGACTGGGGAATAGCATCAGCCCCAGAAAGAGGAATTGAGGATTTGGAACCAACCTTTGCAGATTGTGCAGCTGCTTAGTGTATTAGACAGCCCGCTGGGGAGCTTTCTCCTAGTTATCATGGGTGATGGTATCAAGAACCTGTAAGGACAGAAGACCTGGGGGGACTGTGAAGTGCCGGGGGAGTCTCCCTTCCCCTGGACCAGACTGTCCTGTGCAGACGTAGCTGTTGCTTGCCTGCTGCAGACTTCTTCAGCCTTGCAGTCCTGAGTGCTGGGGAGGAAACCAGCTTGGGGAAGAGCCAACAAGCTGCCTCAGCACCTGCAGTTCAATATGCAGGGGATTTTACGTTTTCAACACTTCGTTAGGGTCAGGAGCAGCCCTTGGCTCCTTGCATCTTGCTGGAGCAGACAGTCCCCCTGCTTCAGGGCTTCCCTTTGAACCTGCTGCAGTGCCGGACTGATATTTCGCCTTCCATATGGTCCCTAAAGAGACCGGGGCTGCTGCTGAGGTCTTGCCCTCGGATCTATGCGGGCAAGTTTCCATAAGTTTTATTGCTTCGCTGCAACGGGTAGAAGCAGGGCCAGGTCTTCTCAGTAACCTCTCAGTTTCCAATCTGATCGTCCACACCCAGTATCTCTGGGGTTGTGCGCACACACCCCTCTATAGTTCTGGGGACAGCCAAAAAACTTGGGAGATCCTATGTGAAAATGGCCAGAAAGGGCGGGGTACTCATTTTAAACTGATTGTAAGTTGAAAATTATTTTTCTGCATAGTGGAAAGTACAGTCATAAACTCCTTCTAGCATTAATCATAGAAGTGTTTTAAGAAAGGTTGTTATCTCTTCGTCTGTGCTGTGTTAGCAGCTGGAAGTCCCCAGCCCTGGCTCTGGTAGGAGTTATCCTGACACAGGGGAGGAGACAGCTCTTGTTCTGGAGAGCTAATAAAGCATGAAAGTAAATACTAGGTGGGTATGACCGACGGGGAACTGAGGTTCTGCTTAACGTGCTGAAGATTGCTCCTCCAAGAGGGGTGAGAAAGTGCAAGCGTGGAGGAGAGGTTAGTTGGGACTGGCCCGCGCTTCTGTCGCGTAAGGGTTCGTTGTACGTGTCAATACTACAGCTGCTTTCCTGCACTCAAACTCCACAGGGATGACTGCACACGCCCAGCACTTTAACATTTGAATGTGAGTGGATGGGACTGTGGTGTGACGGCCGCACGTGATGGTTGTGCTGGGATGAAGAGTGCATCTTTCTTTTCAATTTCCGAGCAGACTGTGCGTGCGCACAGACAGCGCGCCCGACTTAAACCAGAATAATCCCCCAGGGTGTCTGGGCAGGGTGATAATGTAAAAGGAATGCAGGGAGGGTAATCGAAAGAGAGAATGAGCATCCTCGGTAAAACTCCTGCCCTGGTCCCCAGTGTGCCGTTGCGTGCCCTCTCCTCTGTGCGCGGTCTCTTCTCCCTCCCTCCCTGGGAAGGGCAGACGCTTCTCGCTGCCCATACTTGTCATGCCAGTCACACGCGTGCTGGTGCACAGACTAACACCCTCAACAATAAATCTAAAAGATTAATTACAAAAAAAAAAAAAAAAAAAAAAAAAGAAAGAAAAAAAAAAATCCCACAACCCCACTTGGGGCATTTGAAATGCGTCTCAACCGTGCTCCGCTTGGGTTATTCACGGGGAGAAGAAATAAAAAAAAAAAAAAATAAAAACAAAAAAAAAAAAAAAAAAAAAAAGAAAGAAAAAAAAAAATCCCACAACCCCTCTTGGGTCATTTGAAATGCGTCTCAACCGTGCTCCGCTTGGGTTATTCACGGGGAGAAGAAATAACCTCCTGAATCGAGCAATTGAGAATGCAAATATCCCAGCCTAGCTCAAAAGAGGAATCAAGCTCTGTACTGTCAAGCTGATTAGCATCCCCTTACGTGGGGTACTGCCCTGAGCCCAGAGAGAAAATTTCGGGACAACTCTGCTTAACACTTTGGGATGAGGTTTCTGAGTTTTGCCCAGAAAGAAATTGTAATGTTGTTTCTCGCTGTATCATCAGAGACCAAAAGATACCTTTTCTTGTTCTCTTCATGGCAACTGCCCTTCCTCTGGTGAGATCTTTCAGGCTTTTGTTTCCTGTCACTGACCAGCTGTTTTTTGTGAGTTGAGTTGTTTTGTTGTTGTAAAATTGAAGCTTTCTACAGGCACTGGAACAAAGATTTTTCTCTTGTGAGCAGTGAGGGAAAGTACATTGGAGCAGTTTCTCATGGGAGTGGGGACTTCTGCTTGCAATAAGGATTTTACTCTTTGCCTGAAAGCAGTGTAGACGTGTCTTCCAGAAAGACGAGGAATTATATTCTGATCCCTTTCAGTCCATATCCCAGCAGTAGGGTGGGAAATGCAGCATTCTTTCCCTGAAAGCAGTGTAGACGTGTCTTCCAGAAAGACGAGGAATTATATTCTGATCCCTTTCAGTCCATATCCCAGCAGTAGGGTGGGAAATGCAGCATTTGGGAGTTGATTGGAAATACTCAGAATGAAAAAAGCAAACCGAATCACAATCTGCTCCTTGTTGTTACGTTCCAGTGAACCTAAACCCTCTGTAACATTCCTTGTTATCGGTTGCAAATGTCAGAGGGAAAAATAAAACAAGAGCTTTCCTATTAAGTGCTGTTCATCAGTTACAACCAGTGTGCAGGAGCGTGAGTGTGGCTGGAAACCGCGATGGCAGTAACAGGCAGGCTGCGTGCGTACCTGAAAAGCTGCGGTGCATGCTTGTTTCCCAACTTTATTTTTCACACAGGTTTCACTGTCTCTTCCTCCTCCCCTTTCCCATCTGCTCCGTTTCCCGAGTGGGTGGCCTGCGGCAGTGTCCGGGAGACATGAGCTGCTCTGACATGAGCTGGCACCGACCGGGGCGGGTGGGCCTGTCGTGAGGACAGATCCGTGGATGGTTCGTCTGAGGTGTGTCCTGAGCCGTGTCCTGAGCCTGGGGTTTTTCCTAACCCACCCTGACAGATCAGGCATTCGGGTGGGTTTGCCGCCACTGCCCGAATTAAAGATTAAGGCTGCAGAACCAGGGCTGTCATTGCCACGAGATTAGAGACGCATCCTTTTAGTGTGTGGCAGCTCCTGCAGATCCTTTAGCACAGAAATACATGGGGTGTTCAGCGTTATCGGCTCTTGTTCTGTTCATTCAGCGCTGCAACATGGCTCTTCTGTTAATGTTTACTCACTTTTTTGTGCTGGGAGGGCTGTGAAGTTGGAGGAGGGAGGCAGGATCCAGGCATCAAGTAATGGTTTCCCATAAAAATCGAATTTTTGAAGATGTAATCATATGCAGTGTACATTGTAGGCCAGTTCAGCCGATTGTGGCGTAACAACTTCTGGAATTTAAAATGGATATAGCTGCGGTCCAGGGGTTTCTCATGCTGCAACTTTTCTCCCCATTTCATCTTCAAGTCAATGCATGGGATGAATGAAAGCAGCAGCAGCACATCTTAGTGAAATCCCGCATTCCCCAGCATCTTCTGCACATCAGACACTGGGCAAAATTTGCCTAGGACAGAGTATTTCTGAATTAACACAGAAATAAAGGGGAGTGCAGTGATTTCGGGAATGTCTTAACTGGGTTCATAGCACCAGTGCTAGCCGTGTTAGAGTTACGCTTTTCAGCCTGGATCTTCTTTTTGTCTTCTGGCTGTCTCCTTGAGAACGTGTTTGGATTGATCTTTTGCTTGTGGGCTTGTTTCAGTTTTAACTGCACTATATATGGTTGCATATATATATGGTTGGTATATATATCATCCTTCTGTTGATAACGAAAGGGTAGTTTAGCCTGTATGCTGTATGTACAGAGGAGTGGAATTTCCATAAAGCTGTCCTGTTTCTCACCACCCTGAGCTGTAGCTCCAAAATCTGCAGCCTGTGCTGGCAACGTTCTGTGATGAGTTCCCTCCCTGGTGAAGCTCCCTCTTTTTGAGTAACTTAACAGCCATCATAAGCTGTAAGAAACGTCAGTGTTTCATGTTAGGGATAATGAGTTTATCATGGAGTCTGTCTCCTTTCCATTTCATTTTTGCTCTTATTAAACACGTTTCTCTTGTTTCTTCCCAAGAATGCCAGGACTGGTGGGCAGCAGGTTGCAGACAGAACACTTCTACGCTTCCTGCAAACTGCACAGTCTGTTCTACTGTGAAAAGCCTTCAGATAGTGACAGACTTCGGAGAACTATCAGAAAAGCTCCAGAGGTCTCAGCCTTTTCTAATCAAGGTAATGCATGGATATGTAAGGCTGGATGGCCAGTCCAAACTCTTGAATATTACCAGCCAAAGACCCCTGCCCAGTATTTTCAACCACAAACTCAAACTGCTGATTGAGGTAGACCGTGTAGCAAAGACAGCATTTTGCCTCAGTTTAAAGATGTCAGGGAGTGAGGAGCTCTCCTCTGACTAATTAACATTATGCTTGGAAACTTAGCAATCTAGATGGCTGTTACTTTTGGATGTTCTTTGGCGGGATGGAAATAGGAGAGGGGAAGAAGCTCGGGTGCACAGCTTTATCTTTGTTTTGTGTCATTTAAGACAGGGCAGCATCTCTCCTATGAAGAACTGAAGCATTTTCAGTCCCAGGATCCAGACCTGGCAGAGGTTATAATAGAAGAAAATTCAGCTGAATTGTGGAGCTGTCCATTTTTCTTTCCCTGGTGAGTCAAAAGACAAAATGCATGATAGATGCGTGCATCCCTTCAGCAGGCGTGCCCAGGCTTTTGCCAATGTGAATTACCAGGAGCCTGCAAGTTGCACTTGAACTGGAGGGAAGGGGAACAGGAGTGGGTGAGAGTCTGCTGTTTACCTGCTGGCACTCATTTGATCCGAGGAGAAGCCTGCTGTACTAAAAGTGGAGTGTTGTGGCTGGGACTTCACATATTGCTCCCCTTACAAGACAGAAACATCCCAGTGACTGCTGTTCTTCAGTCATATGTTAATCATGTGGGTTGTGGTCTGATCACTTGCGGCAGCTGGTTTACATTTCTAATCACCCTGTACTCAGTGGAAATCCTCCACCATTAGCGTGGACTGAGAGGAGATACCATGACTTTTGCAAAACACTGAAGTAACAGAAAGCTAGGAGATCCTGCAATTTGTGTTTGGTCACGTGCAGGAAAAATGACCAGCCCTGATCCTGACCCCCTGTTAACTAAAAGCTTTTTGCTGAAGCCTTTAGTGTGGCTACAAGATGTGTGAACAATTCAGAGCTCTCTAAGGTTGCAGAGCAACCAGTGTATTAGCAAAGTCTGTTCCTGTGGAGAAGGGTGAGGAGTAACGTGGGAAGGTGCCACCTGGTGTGCAGTAGACTCGCTGGCACGTTTGCACCAGCAAGGGAGCAGTGTCCTAGCAGACTTGGAGAAGGGCGTGGTGGACGCTGTGCTGTGGCCAATGCTTAGATGGGATCTTCTTGCGGCGCTTCTCGACCGCAGTGCTGGTACACGGATGATCAGGGTACAGAAGTATTAATCATATCACGCCACTAGACAGAGATGTAAAAATAACAAGCCCCACCCTGCCTTTTCCAGTTACATTCCCTGGCCTAGAGAACAGACTTGGATTCCCCCCCGCCTTGCCATGTGGTTCCAGTTATGGTTGCGTATCATACCACCTTTTTGCATCTTTTATGATTAATGGATCCAGTCAATGACTCGGATCATTTTAAGGGAAGAGGGGAGGGAAATGAAGTTTAGACATCCATGGTGATCTGTTCCTTGTTTATGCGGTGCTGCTGCAGGTACAAAGAAGGAAGATATGAAGGAGCACAGGTTTAGAAGCTGAGAGGTCAAATTTTGCTCCTAGACGCTAGTCTACCAGCAGACTGTTTATCAAGCATGAATATTTGTGAAGAATTTTGATCTTGGAAGTAGCCTTTTAAATATGAGTGTTGTCATTGCGTGATATTCCTTTAACATGGGTTGTTTTGTTTTGTTAGGAACAAATCTGTGAATAAAACTCAGATTCTGCACGAATTTTTTCCCACTTCCTCTTTGCTGTCCTTCCCCAAGACGGTGTCCCTGGAGAGCTGCTTCCTCATCCGCCATCCAGATTTGGGGAATAAGGTGAGAAATTCATCCCAGGGACATTGTGGGATGTCCCTGTCTGTGAGAAACTCCAAAGCTTTGGAGGATTTGCAGGACATTTTCAGCTGATACAATCCTGACAAGAAAGATTTAGGGTTGCTGCAGCACCCAGAAGTTGTGTCTAGCTTTGGGCGGGTGGTATCCATCTCCCTTGGCGGTTAGAGATGCCCATGTGGTGTCCCAGCTCCGCTCACGTTTGTCCTGGCCTTTCTCTGGAGCTGTGTGAGGCGAAGGTCTTTTTGTGCACAGTTGGGCAGAATTCATTGAAGAGTTGAATTTTAGGAGCTGTTGCTGGCAGTAAGCCTCCCCCATGCTGAGCTACCTGCCACGGAGACGTTTCACTGAACATGGTGACACTTCAGGCTTCTAGCCTGGTCTCCGCGCTTTCTCGCGGGCTTTGTGGGTGTGGAGGGCCTGCATTGCCTTGGACAGGAGAGGGGAAGAGGACTGTTGCATGCAGCTGACCTCAGCTGTGATCTACTGGCACAAGGGGGGAGCAGCAAACCTGTGGTTTGCGCTGTCTCACCTTGCTGCAGGACAGTGACTTGCCCCTTTCTTGATCAGACAGACCCAAGTAAAGCTAGCAAGGCTTTTGAAATATTCTCCTCTCATGCCAGAGCTACAGTTTGCACAGCCTCTTTGCTGTTGGAAGTGGGCAGCTCACCCTGACCGTTGTACCTCTGGACAAGTGCAGAGGACACTGTGAGATGTTCAAGGTGGAGCTGGAAGCTGGAGATTTGGGTGAGTACCGGTACTGTAGCATGCAGGGTCTGGGAGATCCCTTGGAGACCAGCTTCCAGCTGGGTCTTTTCTGCCTGACACCTGCGAGGGTGGTGTGTGCTGTTGCTGCCTCCAAACTGGTGTGTGCCTGCTTGTCGCAGTACAGAGGAGTGATCATTGACCGGGAGTTTGTGGCCTGGAACACAACCAGCAGGATGCCGTGAGATGCTCGGTGTGAAAATTGAGCAGTGTGGGCTACACAAGGCCCAAAGCTCTGCCGGGAATCACAAACCCAGCATGTCACTGAGGGCAGTGTCTTTCCAAAGAGCTTCTGCACACCCCCATCACTTCATGGGAAATGTGAGCAGTCATTAAGCGTGGATTCATCTAACACGGCCTCTTCATTGCGTCTTCCAAAGGTTATGCCAGCGCGGATTACTGGATGATGAGCTTCATGGCCAAAGGGACAGAGCCGGCGGTTGTTTGTGATGGAGCTGCCAGCTAAGGACAGTGGGGTAGGAAGATGGAGCTGTTTCCTGGAAAGAAGACTTTCAGCTTTGAAGCCAAGGCAAAGTCTTGAAAGCGATAGAACTGGGGCAACTGGGGCAGGCAGCGTTGCCACCCTGCATGTTTACAGTGTTTAAAAATGACTGTTTTCCTGACCCTTGAGGTAATTCTTTGCTTTTCCTCAAATGTGTTTTGAGAGAAGCTCAAGCTATTTATGACCTTCCCTGTCGCCTCAGGTAAGCCCTGGGTTTGCAGCAAAGGGTTTTTTCCAGGAACAACAGAGGGATTTCTCAGGATGAGATTCACCTTGTGTCCTTTGTGTATTGTGGCACTTTTGAAACTTCCTGGGGGGTTTGGGAGTGGAGGGGGTGTGTGACATTTCTGTGTGCATTCCTCCTGAGGAGGAAGCTTTGAGCCTGTCTTGTCAGGCCAGCTCTATAAAGGGAATGAATTGGTGACGTGTCCCAGCTCCACCGCGTCTCTCCATCACATGCATAGCTGTGTGCCACAGTAGTGTGCCCCGCAAAGCCAATCTCAGCTCCGTGCTCCAGGGCTGAGATGAGCCTTGCAGCCTAAGGGCAGAGACCCTCACCCACTGCATTGTTCTTGTACCAAAAGAATATGTTCAGGCCTCTTCTTGGTGTCTTGTGAGCACTCTTCTGCGGTTCTCTATCAGGTTGTGAGTCAAATAGTAACCAGTCTTTTTTTTGTTTGTTTTTTTTCCCCCCTCTACCTCCTTTCCTGCAAAAATAGCTGTGCAAGTTTTAGTGGCGATGGTGTTGAGAGTGCCGTAGTTCTGGATGGAGAGGGAGCTGGGTGCAGAGCAGCTCTGTACAAGTTTCATCTTCTGATTGTGCGCCTAAGACACCAGAGCTGTGTGACTGTTTTCATATACTCCTTGCTTTGAGAGGTGCTGCCTGCGTTCCTGGCCCAGGATCCCTACGGCAGCACCTGAAAGCTTCCTCATCCTTGGCATTTTTTTGCATTGACTTCTTCCAGACCTGTCTTCAGAATGAACATTGGTTTTTCCTGAGTCCTTTCCAAGCTGCCTTCGCATGCTTCCTGTTGCTTGAGCGCTGCTTTAGCCAATGCCCTGAGAGAGGCTCGGTTTCAGTGTTTGCAGGCTGCGGATGCTGCGGTCCTGTCCAAGTCTGATCCTTTGGGTCTGATCCTGCTGTTGAAGATCATTTACAGATGTGTTAGGCTGAACTCATAGGCCAGGGCTGGGGTTCAGGACATATTCTCACACTTGTTAATATGGAATTGGGAGGGGTTTTGTTTGAAAGCAAGTTAACCCTGTTCTCAGGAGCGAGAACCTTTTCCTCTGTATATATTTTAGGTACGCATAAAATGACAGATTGGAAAAATATCTGTGCAGCCTTTGTTTTTGAGCAAGGCCAGGAGGATGGGAGCAAACATCATACTAATCTTGTTAGGGTCTGGCAAAAGCTGCCAAGTGGGGATGACCACGTCTGGCTCCTGTACAAGGAGAAGACAGAGGACAGTTCCTGCTCCAAAGAATTTAGTCTGAGGCCTTGACACTACAGACATTTCTATGCATAACCCTTGTTTTTCTCCTGTAAACAAAGAACAACCACCCCAGCACCCGTGTCAGTCTGTGTGCGTGGTCCTTGACATGGGACCAAAGCGGACCAGATCTAGTGGAACCAAAGGGGGAGAGCCTGACTCTCTCAGGACAGAAAAGGACTAATTTAATTTGTAGCAAAATATTAAAGGGAATTGGGTTCATAAGACTTCTGTTAGTATTGTTAATGCTTGGGGTGTGTTTTACACTTGTGACACTACATGCAATCTTGTACATGCCAAGACACACACACACACCATCCCTCTCCCTCTTAAAACCTGGGTCTTAGTTCATGGAAATTCGGGAGTTTGGTGATGGCAGAATTAGGGCCTCGTTAGTGACTGTTGCTATTTACACTTTGGCAGCTTCTCAAGTCAAATTCTAAGGCTGACAAGGTTACATCAGCTCTTACTGGTTTTGTACCTGAGCCTTTTTTGTAAAGCATTTGGTTAGAGATGCGTGGGGACAGAACCTGCCGGACCCATAATTGCTGAGATTGCGGGTGGTTTGGTGATGCTGTTCCTCCTAAGTGTCCTTGAATGTAACTTGTAAAAGAGCTGCGGAGACAATTCTCAAGTGTCTGTGAAATGCCTGTATTCTGTGAGTGCTTAAGCCATTGTGGCTGTCTGGCTGCTTTGCAACGAAGCAGAGAAAATGGATCTGTTTACAGTTGCTGTTTAGGCTGGGGGGGAGAGGGGGCTTCTGGGACAGGTTTGTACCTATTTAGCAGAAGTGCTTTCACGTATTGCTTCTCCCCTCTGCAAAGAGTTGCAGCTGGTTGGACAGAAGATGGTGAATCTGGACTGTTTGCAGATCAGCTTTCCAAATGCACTTTATGGTCTCTGCATAAGTTTCCAGATCTGTGTCTAGGCGATACATTGCATATGTCCCAACCTTGCTCCCTTTGGAGTTTACATCATTTGTTTTTAGACTTCCAGTATATTTTCTCTTCCTCTTCCAAAAGCTGTAAGGAATTAGCTGCTAAACTAAAACAGGAGGGCAATTCTTCTGCTGCTAAAGAGCCGAGTTTTGGCCGTAGCTGCTGTTGAGCACAGAGCCCGAGTCTGTAGCACGGCTTCTAGAGCAGCTCCTCTCTTCTGCTGCCAGACAAGTAGTGCTAACGCCTTCTGCATGGCAACGCAGGTGAGGAGGAGCTGGGATGGAAAACTCGGAGGTGAGGCCAAAGTGGTAAAACTAGGATGGCCAAAAGGAGGTGTTGAAACCTTGGCCACATGGCTGCAAGTGAGCCCTGGTCATCTTCCTCATCCAAGGCTCCGGCTTCACGGAGCCTTTGCAGTGGCCACAGGAGGCCATGACTTCCCTGGGGAGCCTGGCAGCTGAGGCTGAGGCTGAACTGGGGGGAAAGTGGCTATTTTCTCAGCTATTGAGGCATGGTGGCGACAGACGTGATCGGCTGAGTTGCAGAGGGTGTCTGTCCCATCGCCGTCTCCCTCACCTGTAGCTTCACTCTGGCCCTTGTGCGTATCCAAGTGTATGTGCTGGTTTGGCTAATCCCCCGCTCCCCACCCTGCCCAGCTCAGTGGGGTGCCTGGTCAACGTGTGCGTCCCAGCTTTTTAAAATCTCTTTATGTGCTTCAGAGCTCTTTGCCTGTGAGCTGGGAGATGGACTCCTGGTCGCCCGATGTCTTGGAGGCTGCGGATCTGCTCTGAAATCACACCAGTGAGGTACAGAGTCAGTGCTACCCGAGAGCCCAGTGGGCAGAGATGCGGAGAGGTCACTGCTCTCGGTGTCAGCCTAGAAGGACGGGCTGTCACCCGGCTGTCACCCGTCACCTGGGCAGGAGGATCGTGGTTTAAAGCTGGTTTCCCAAAGCAGGGGTCATTGAGCGTTGATCTCAGTCAGTCCTGAACTCAGGGTAACCGAAAGGAGAAAGGAGTGTTACTATTTACTTCAGTACCAGGAACTCAGCATCCCCTATGGGAGCCAAACTGCCAGTTTCTATTGATACTTTTTTTTTCTTTTTTTTTTTTTTTTTTCCCCTCCTCCCCACTGGCATTGCACACATGAATTCCCCCGAGGCGGCTCTACAGATCCCAGCCTCAAACTCCCTTTGCAAAACCCCAGAGAGCTTTCCAGGGTTGGATTTCCCGGGAGTCTTGGGCCTTTAGCTTCTCCCACTAGTCCTCTTACTGGAACGGTCTGGCAGAGAAGCTGGTTTTACTGGGCTGGATCAAAGCACCTCCTTTCTCTCGTGGCTGGCCTCCCTGGCTTTCTAGCAGCAAGCCTTGCATATACCCTTCCACAGCAGGTCCCGCTCGCAGCATTGCGAACACCCCCAGCGAGAGGAGGTGGGGAGCAGGAAAGTGTCTCATTACTCGAGATGCGAGCTCTACAAGCTCCAGCATCTCCCAAGGGTGATCCTCCTGCCTTTAAACCCCCACATCACATCGGGAACGCGGCTCCGGGGAGTGACGTTTGCAGAACCGCCTGTCCCAGGCGCAGTGGGCCGCTTTTAGCCCCGTGGCCTTCAGAGAACCAAGCGCTTTCTGGGGTGAGGCCATTTTGGTGGGCACACAAAGAGCTCTTGCTTCCTGCAAACCAAACCAAACTCTCTCTTCTTTGTAGATTTTTCTATGTAGAACTACATATTCTCCTCTGCAGGAAACTCCTCCTTGTAAAGGATAGATTTACTGTCCTGCTGAGTTAAACAAGGGAGATGCTGGCCTTCCCCTTTGCTTTGGAGATTCAAACAAATGACAGGTGATTTATTTTTAGCATTATCTCTTTGTCTACAAGGAGGGGGGGGCATGTTATAAAGGCTCAGGGGTGCTGGGAAGTAAAGCTATATACGCATAAAGACTGTTTCAATGCTGAACACTATAAATTCAGTGGTGGGTAAAAAAGAATGTAAATATGCACTTAATGCAGAATTTTATGAATGGTCATAATTTAATATATTGCAAACTTTGTAAATACTTGGAAAAAGCCTGTAAAGTGTGTAAATAAATGAGATTTGTATGTAAGAAGAATAAAAAAAGTTTTTACTTTTTGCAATTAAATATAAGTGTTAATGCACCTTTTCCCCTTTCCTGAATTTGTTGTTTTTCTTTTCATGTTGCATGTCAGCCATTGAGGGGATATTTAACCCTTTTTAGGGCACTTTTTCTAGGTGGAAGTGTCATTTTAAGTGAAAAGGCAGAACACTTTCATTTGGAAAATGTCAAACATTGTAGAAAATGTTTTGTCAGTTTTAGCCTGGTTCCCTAAACAGAGGTGATGCAACAGCTCTGCCTGTCCCTCCTTTTTTCCTAATTACAATCTTTGTCCTTCCTTCACAATTCAGCTTGTTTCAGGCAAACCTTGAGGGCCAGAAGACAATAAGCACCTCCAGAGTTCATAAAAACAGGCGAGTAGAGGAGAGAAAGATCCCGCTATACCAGGACAATGCGTTAGCCATGTTAGACACCAGAGAAGCCCTGCTGAAGACCCTCGAGATGTGAGTCAGTAGAAAATCAGGCTTCGTTTCGTCTGTGGTGCAGAGTTGTGCCTTTCTGGAGCCCGCTGGCCTTGAGCCAGACCCCGCACAGTCCGTTGGGTGTCCGTGTGCGGCTCCGGTCTCTGTGCCGAGGCTGCCGGCTCCCCGGCCATGCGTGGACG